TTCAGGGCTATTTTGACAGCTAAATCCATCCATTTCGACAACATTTTTGTACCCAAACATGATTTAATAACAGAAGCGACTTCTTCGTCATTGTTTACATCAATCTGCTTGCTGAAAAATATCGCCAGTTATTATCGAAAACATTTTATTCAGTGGGCTTAATTTATTTTCCATCATTCGTGATAATCAATAACAAAAGCTTTTTGATCACTTTCGTTATCAGATTAGATGATAGGAATGAATTTGAAAAAGAAAATAATTTTAAAATTTTGAATGTTTAAAGAATTTCATAAATCTAATTTTAACAAGTTTTTTTTGCAATAATTAATTTGGAATTACATCGAATAAATGTTCGAAAAACATTGCTGTTGTTCTTTCTATTAATAAAAAATTTCTGCAAAAAAAAGATATATTGTAAAATACTGTAAAATAATCTTAGCACTTCTTGTTGTAATGATAAATAATGATTGTATTCTTTAATTAAATGATTCAATATGAAATTGAATGAATGAAATGATATGATATGATATGATTATAATTTTATCAATTATCAATTTTTCCACAAAAAAAAAATGAAAATAAAAAACAACAACAACAACAATAATAATAATAATAATAATAACAGTTCTGTTTCTATTTTTTAGCCTATTTTTTGCTCATCTAAAGTTCATTCTTTGCTACATTGTAATAGACACCAGCCAACACTCGTAGAATGTTTGAACAAAAAGGAAAAATAGATGATAAAGGAGAAAATAATCACTTTCACTTCTATTTTCTAAAGAAGAAAGCATTTTTTTTAAATACACATATCCACTATTTCTCTCTTTTCTCTTTTATACGAAATAATTCCACTTCCTTTTTTCTTTTTGAGATACAAATAATGAAATTAATTGAATTACCTGAAACGGTACCCAATAGGTATTCTGAACCCAGCAATAATTTTCCGTATACTGTTCCATAGCTTTGGTGAATTGCGCTGGTACAAAACATTCAATTGGATGGCCTAAAAAAATGAAACATGAAAACAAGTGAAGATATAATGAAAAATAGAAATAGTCCATTTTTACTTTACGTCTTCAGGTTCGAGAAATGTGATTAGTTGACTGATTTTTGTAGTTGTGTGTACAACTGTGTTGGTGCGTATGTGTATCTATCTGCATGTTTTGTGCATGTGTGCATGTGTTTGTATGACAAAGGAAATATTTTCTACTCCGGAATTATTCATTAATCAGTCCCAAAATTACTGAAGTTCAATTTAGCCAATTTGTTTCCAGCTATTAATATTTACAGTAAGTTGTTACTATCATTTTGAATAAAAATTTTGGTTATGCAATTTTTGAATTTTATATTCTGCAAAATTCACTTCCAAAACGAAACATACAATGTAGAAATAAGCAATATTGAAGTTGAAGTAGCAGTGCTCTAAGCTTAAATAACCAGTATAGCTCTCTTATAATTCCGGGAAAATATCCACAATTCTTTTTATTTTTGTTTATCAGAAATTTTGATTGATGACCAAAAAATATCGATAACATATTTTGATTTCATAATGACTTTATAATTTACGTAAAAGGTGAAGCAATTTGAAAGCTGTTAAAATCCTACATCATCTACAACTGTTGAAGTGCAATGAAAAAAAAATGTGCGTTTATAAAGAGATAGGAAATTTATTACCATACTGTTTAGCAGATACAATAATGGAGAATAAGAAGAACATAGTTGAAGTGTAAAGATAATGAAGACGATCCACGAAATCATCATCCACTCTTGGCTCAAGAAGTCTTAGCGCAGAGGTTAATAAATGCATGCCAACCCGATAACCGCCAGAAACCATTCTTTCTTTTTCCTCTGAAGCCAACAACGTCACCGTCGACAAATTCAATATAAGAAAAGTTGATCCTTTGTTTAAAGAACTCACTTTGAACTGCCCATTCATTTGAAGTCAGCTGGCAATACTTTTCGTTCCTCTTTTCTGAACGTCATTTGACTCCTCCCTTGCTTATATACATACACGCAAACATTCTCATTTATAATATGTATATATGTACAGTGATTAAAAAAACATTCATTACTTATTAAATGATCAAATGGATACCTAAAAACAAACAATGATTAATGGAGATAGAAAGGGAAAAGTGTTATTTTCCAATTTAAATCTGATAATAGGAGGAATGGGAGGATAGCGCTAATTAAGCATAGAGAATGGTTAACTAATACAGAAGTGATCCAATTCTTTTGCTTGATCTTCTGTAAATGTTCACAGAAAATTAAAATAATTCTTTAAACATAATTCTTGGTAGTTAAATAAATAAGCTATTTTTATTCCAAATATTAAATATTTCAGACATCTTTCTTCCTTAATATCATTTGTTATCATTTTTTGCACAAAGAAAAAGAAACGGAAAAATTTTGATTCCAGAAAAAACATAACTACTTATAAGAAGTAACGAATGATCGCAATGCCATAGATAACTAAGATTACTATGTTAATTTGATCCGTTACCTGGATTAAATAGATCAGGAACCTCAACAAGAGAATTCTTTCCGATTTGGCATATTCTCTTTCATCTTTTAATTCACACAGCTTGCTTGTTCCATTCTCTTTTATCTATTTTTAGCAGCTTGGAAAAAAAGAACAAACGAATTTTGTTTCACTTAAGATGGAACTCTTAGAAGAGGAAAATAATTTACCTGTGATACCGAATACGGATGTGTTCTCGAATCTTCTGCTTAAATTTCGTCTTCATTTGCTCTTAAATCTGATAAACACGGAGCAATTCTTCAATGTTTGATCGCTTATCAGATAAAATGACATTTATGACTCTGACATTTCGAAGGCCTAACTGTCTGTTGGTCGCACCACTTCTGTCGACCGAAATTACTCATTTACATCTCAAAAATATCATTCGATAGAATCTAAGATGATACGATGATACGAGAAGCCTAGTCTTACGGATACACTGACAACATCAGCTTTATACATGGTATTCAGCTATCATGTGTTCTCAATCTATCATTCATAATCCATTGGATGGGATTGGACCCTAAAACTTTCAGTTCCACAACCATTATGAACGAATATCGTCCCGGGAATCGGCTCGATTCAGATCAACCATGATCTAAAACCAGCTCGGTCTAATAGTACCTTGGTTTAGAACTAAGTCGATCAGTTTGACCTTGATATTTTGATGACTACCTTGTCTGCAAATATAAATGAGCCCCTTTTCCGGCAATCAAATTCCTTTATAATTCCTTTACTATGTTTTTTATAAGTCTGCATTATAGAATGAATCTCTTTACCGGCATTGAAACGACAGTACCTGGCATCCGGTTAAGATGACCTTAAGAGTGACACTTTTTTTTCAACGTTATATCTACGATCCATTACAAATCGTTCAGAATATTTTTCTTACGAAGCACTATGAGTAAAACAAATGAGTTAGCACTTCATTCTAACATGTGCTGCATAATTAAAGGTACATTACATTTAGTCAGTCTTTGCACTTTCGTTACTACAGGATAAGAAAATTTATTAAAAAAGGATGTTACGTCCGATATCTCAGTCGAATTCTAGGTGTTGCCAGCCAGTTAAGTGATAATGCACATTGGAAAATTGCGAAAAATTGTGCAGTAAGTCTAATATCGTAACAGATCATTTTAATTAACTCGGATGCGACATCATCATCATTATAATCGTTATCGATTGCCACATCAGATATCGCCATATTTAGGACTATCGTTTATTTTGCTTCAAATATGTTTTTAAATCAAAAAACTCACATTTTGTGTTTTTTTCAGGTACGCTGTTCTCATTTTCTATACACACCTTAATAATTTTAAATTAAAATTATATTAATAGATCTGGAATGCTTCCGTATTATCTGCAGAAATGAGTGGATGGAAGATCTCAATATAACTTAATATTTAAAAGTCTATCCCGGATTCAAAACATGTAACTCGCAGAAATGATTGAAATCATTGGTTAAGAATGAGTAGCCAAAATCACTTTTACAGGTACGTTATACCTCATATTTCTTTCTTTCGTTTCCGAAGGATATAATTGTTTAGGATAATTATATTTTTGATGATTTTAATTGTATATTTTTTCGACGAATTTATCGGTGTGAAATGAAACCACTAATTGTGCTACTGATATACATATTTCTATTTTCATCCCTTCATCTCCATTAAATGCGAATGCTTGATGTACTTTCTTTCCTTCATTCTCCTATAGCATCCTTTCTAGCCCTTTTTTCTCTCTCCCTTTGGATTTTTTGTTCAGAAATCGATTGGTGTGAATGTGTGAATGAAGAATTGGCTGTTCCACTCGATGGTGATTCCTGTTGTTCCTCAATTTTTCAAAATTTCTCCCTTTCCACAGTGAAAGTTGTGTTTATAATTTAAAAACTTGTTTCTGAGACTGGAAGTACCATCCCAAATGGAGCATTGTACCGTTAAAGGACATTTGTCACGTGTAATCTGACGTAATATGACATGTCATCCCTCTCCTGGAAACAATAGTTGAAATTTAGCGAGCTATATCTGTTGGAATTTTCAATAATTGACATTTTAGTTAAGAAATTTCTCCACTGGGTATGCGAGCAAAACTAACTTAGGCACATCAAGATATGTCGTGCATAACGCACTTATTTCGAAATAACGTTTTGGATCGGGAGCATCGTAGAAAACATAATTAAGGCTTGGTACTTTACTGTTTAGAGTAAGCATAATATGTATTACCTCGAATTTGTGACAGAACATCAAAGGAATGACTATTTGCAAAATGGAAGAGATTTTCATTCCCTTCCTAAGCTTCTAGGATACACTCCGAAATATTCCCATGTAATTGTGAAACTGACTTAATTAACCTTTTCATAACATTATTTGCAAATGTTATAAGAAATTATGAATTTTAAATTTTCAGAACTGAAATTACGAATATTATGAGTTGCATCTATCGGTAAAATTCTCTTATGATGAATGCAAAAGTGAATGCAGGACTGCATTTGTCATTGAAATTCTTTTATCATGAGAGCAAAAGTTAATACATTGTTTACATCCTCTCTCGGCTTAATATATTTTATGCTTCCTATTTTAGTTGAATTGATTTTAAAAACACTATTCCGTCATTGATTATTTTTGTATGCTTTTAATTTCTTACTCTCTCTCTCTCTCTTTTCCCTGTATATTCCATGACTAGATATCCTGAGGGCTCTAATTCTGTTATGGTTACATTTTGTTCCAGGCTTCATATGTCTAGACTCTTTACTGTCGAAAGTTACATCAGTTTGATGTCCCACCCATTCTCCAAAAATCGATTTCCAATGAGAAACGTTGAATACTAATATTTTCTATTATTAAATTTCATACATGAAGTATGCATGTATTATTTTGTTCATTGTTCTACTTCATAATGTAGCGTTTAATTTCATCACTGAATTGAATTTTCATTCTGCTCGTTCAAGTTTATCAAATTTTTTAATCGTTGTAATATTCCAGATTTTTCTAGGGACCGTCATGGACGATGAAGCGACTGTCACAAAAGAAGATGAATTAAAGGAATGTCTAGAATTGTGTCAGATGGGTGTAAAGATGTGTCGGATCAAATCGGGCTGCTTGATAACGTCTGGAAATGTTTATGTGGAAGATCAGAAGTGGCTGTGTTATCATTCGGATGTTTGTAGGAAGTTTGTGTCGTTAAAACTCAAATCTGGTAAGTTGCTAACTTTTTGAATCGGCCTACAATTAATAAAATGATTCGTGTTGCGGTTTTACCTTTTTACCTTATATGGTACTCACCGTTCCGTTTTTATATTGATAACACCTCTGTTACATATTATACTTATTGCTGTGGTAGCTTTGTAAGAACTTAAGAAGGTTACTTTGTGCTATAAGTTAACCTTGTCATTCAAGCTATTATTTTTCATAGAAGTGTAACCAGCCTAAGGAACCTTTCCATTCGATGTTGTACGGGATTTCATTACTCTAAAACATCTGTCCATATTTCAATTCTAAAAGTGGAACAAATGATTTGCAACCTTCTGAGAAATGGTGCAGTACAAATAGCCATTTTTTAGTAAATATTGATGATATCTTGGAGGTGCGAAAGGGATTCAGTTCTGATAATCTTCACAAAGCTTCCAAGAAATATTCTTTTCGCGAAAAAGTTACGGTTAGGTTTTATTTTTTATGGTCTGTAATTAGATGAGCATCAAGATATGGACGCTTATATGTGTATGTAGTTGTATGGATGGTGTACATGCTGATTTAAAGGACTAAATTTAATAAGAAGTAAAAGTCAAGTAGTTTTTAGCCTTAAATTATGATGCGATTTATGGTTCCTGTACATAATTAATTGAATTACTTCAACTCTATCACTTCTTGACAGTCATTAGTCGACAACACTTGCGAATGTCCTTTTGATCTCATTTATTGATTTCATTTCGCTCATTGAAGTTTTGATAGCGGTTTTTTGCGGACATTCAACAAACAAAGATTGAAGGCAGAAATGTGTATGTCTGTAATTTTCACTCATCGACGTATGCTCCACAAATCAGTTGATTTTGCTGCTGAAAATCCATCCGTGAGAGATAAATTTGTGAAGGGTTTGCAATATCTTGTTGATAAGAAAAATCGAAAACGTGTGCACTTTGACGAAGAGCGCTGGATTTTGGACAATTTCCGGAAAGCTGATATAAACAAAAATGGTCAGTTGATTTGTAGCTCATTAAACGAAATTTTTATTTAAATGCCTCATTTTTATTTAGTTTAAAGAAAATTACTGAATATTAGTAATCAAGTATTACTAATATTCAATATATTTGGTGGTTTTTAATTCCATAGAGAGCCAAAATGGGCTCATTTCTAGATGTGGAAATAATAATGGTAGGCTTAACGGAACATGAATGCCGAATTTTTATTTAGTTTAGAGGAAATTACTGAATATTAGTAATCAAGTAAAGACTGAATACTGGTAGTCTATTTAGGATTAAATCAATGTTGTTCATAAACTTTCAAAAAATTCCGTATAATATACAGCACGTACTATATGCGGCATGCCATTTGGCAACTGTGATTCATAACATGTGCAGTGTGGATTCATAACATCATTTCAGGCAGACTAAGTTTTGATGAAATATTGAAGCTGCTGCAAACGCTGAATCTGCAAATCAGTAACAAATATGCACTTGCTCTGTACACGGTCATTTTTCAAATGGCTCATAAATGAATGATTTATGTCCAAATTCGTTTCTTTTTTCTCCAGATATGCGACAGTGGAGTTCACATCCGTTTGTCTTCATAATTGTTCTTTGCAGCTATTGAACATTTTTAGATCCGAATTTCAGGGGATAATCAGGTGTCATTCCAATTCACTGTTTGTTTTCTGCAATTTCTTCTTTCCAAAAGTTGATGTGCTTTGTGTTTTTAAATTTTTCCACAAACAAATAGTGTTCTAACTTTTTCAGCAATCAGATTCTTTTGGTAATAATGATGGGCAGTTAGATGAAAATGAATTCCTTAAATTCTTCTCCCAACTAACAGAGCGTCCGGATCTGATACATGTAATGAGGATGTTTAGTACAACCAACGATCCAGCTTTGTCTGCTGTCGATCTGAAAACATTTTTAACCACCGAACAACAGGTATTGCAAAGCACATTCACTTCATATACTTGATATATATTTTTCTGTGTATTAAAAGATCGAAAATTCGATGCAAAATTTCAAAGCAGTTCATGCATTTTAAGCTTTTTTATATAGTATAGATTAAAAGAAAGATTTCATCACTGGAACTATATTACAGTTTGATGATGTTGATGAAAAGAAGGCTGCATCAATTATCGACAATTTCGAGACAGCAAAACAAGGCGTAAAAATACTTGGACCCGTAGGTACTACATTATGACTGAATTTTCCACATTATTTTGGTTCATTTTCTGAAAGTTATCATAATATGCAGAATTTTGCAATTTAATTGCTATTATGCTCTGGGTAATTCCATCAGCAGTTAGCGATTACTTGATAAAAAATACTATATGATACTTCATAGTGTGACAGATATTTCAGAAACTACAGGCTGACAATTAAGCAAAAGAGTCATTAAAAAAAGACTAAGTTTACATATGTTACGATTCAATCAAGATCTGTTTGCAGCGTTATGAATCATTTGTAAAAATTTTGAATAATTTGTAGGTTTCCGTTGGTTGCTGCTTGATAAATGGGGTCACATCATGAAGCCTGGATATGAAGAAGTTTTCCAGGACATGGATCATACATTAAGTCATTATTATGTCAACTCAAGTCATAATACCTATCTTACTGGATTGCAAATGAAGGGTGAAGCAACTGTTGAAGGTTATATCAACGCACTGAAAAAGGGTGCACGGCTTTTAGAACGTATGTTTTTTATGTATGTTGTATGTTGTTTATGGCTTTTAGAATGTATGTTTAGAATATTATTACCATTTTCATTGTAAACTTTACCAAATTTTAATTCAAATTTGATACCAAGTTGTAAATGCTTCAGTAGACGTTTTTGATGGCGAAGAAGGAGAACCGTGTATTACTCACAAGCGTACGTTAATTGGAACGATCACTTTGAAAGATGCATTGAAAGAAATTAATGTGTACGCTTTCAAAACAAATCCTTATCCGGTGATACTGACTATTGAGAATCATGTTGGCTTACCTCAACAGAAGGCAATGGCACGCATTTTTAAGGAGGTTTGTTCTGACCGTGAAAATGTTTTATGTATTTGTACTGTTTTTTTATTTAGAATATTTTTGCTCACTTTCATTTAAAATATTTATCTTTTACTTTTTCCAAAGCTATACATTTTTCCATTATATACATTTAGGTGTTAGGCGACAAAATATACATGCGTCCCAAAAATGGAGCTTCTCAACCCTTACCTTCCCCAAATGCTTTGAAGAACAAGTATCTGTTACGCGGCAAAAAATTGAGATCAGAACAAGGTCCTGATCAGAAATTTGATCAGGATAATGACGAAGTAATCCAAAATAATAGTGGAAATAAAGGCACCATTATACTTGACCCAGAATTTTCTCTACTGATATCACTGCCATCTGTTAAACTTTCTCACAATGTCTTCAAAGATATCGATGAACGTTGGTTTTTGTTTTATATTTTAAGAGCTGATTATTATGGGAACAAAAGAAGTTCAGAAAGCTTTTCTAATTTGTTTTCAAATTTGGTATGCAGCAAGTGCTTTAATTCTAAGTCTATAACAAACTACTTCTTTTGGCTACTTGCAAATAGTATTTTGAATTCATTCAAATATCGAGATTATAAAAAACAAAATCCGAAATGTCTTCAGACCCTATGGACGGTTCCTCTTCTTTATCCGAAGGGAAAGTTGCAAACTATATGCAAAGCGGTTATTCGCTTACTGCTTATACATCAAAAAGATTTGTGAAGTCGTTCCCGAAAGGTCTACGGCAGGATTCAAGCAATATGGATCCCATCCCTTCATGGCTTTGCGGTATACAGTCGGTCGCGATGAATATGCAAACTTCAGGAGAATACCTCGATTTAGTTAATGGTCTATTTCGAACTAATGGTAATTGTGGTTACGTGCTCAAATCAAAGACACTTATTGATGGACTTGGTTGGTTTCTTTTTTTGAGATATATTTTTATAAATAAATATAAGGAATTAGAGTGAAAGTAAATACGAGCAGCTTACCACTGCTCAAGGTGTCTGTGTTTCTTGAATACGTGGGAAATTAAGGATCACATTCTTCAGTTGAAGATCTGAAAGGCATCAAGATTAAGAAATTAAAGAAGTGAACACAAAGTTCTACATCAACTTTTGTTGTATTGTACGCAGTTGTCTATTAGTCGAATAGCACAAATTAAATAGACGCATCTAACTTCATACAAAATAATAATGTTTCATTTTTCAGATCCACGTATGCCCGAAGTATCTGGTACAGTTATAACAACGATGCTAGTTGGGGTAGGTTGCTTTTGCCACTTTACACGGTTGTAAGTAAGATTCTGATATAGCTAGTTGTTTTACCAGTGTATATATGTTTGGATAATAAAGATGCGTGATGTCAGTGTAGGCTATGTTTTTTGCAGAGTTGACTTATTAATTGTCCCATTTATCACTTTGAATCCAGTAAATATTTAATTTCGGTTGTTCTAGATGCCAGAAAATGTTCTGATTTTTGGAAAGTATAAGAAATGTTTCATGAATAAAACAAAGTAAATGAAGTATCATGCTTGCATTAACACATCCATATTCGTCATTATTTTTCGAGTTTCAGGTTATAAGTGGACAATATTTACCGACATCGCAAAAAAATGATGTTATCGACCCGTATGTGACTGTTGAGGTCTTTGGGATTCCGGCTGATTCCCGAAAATTCCGGACAAAGACCATTCGCAATAACGGGTACACGTTTTTACATAATTTTTTTTTTTGATTTTTTAGGTGGACAGTGAGCTTTGTTGTTTGTTTTATTAAAACATTAACGGAGGAAGTATTGCTTGTTATTGCCGCATATCTTGGAAACTTGGAAATCACAATTTTCAAATGTACACGCTTAACCTAGAAATTCAAATTCTTTGTTTGTGTGTAGAAGCTATCTATAAAAACAGCTCAGTCCATTCCTAGGTTTGTCTTTGATCCAAGCGTTTAGTGTGTTTCAGCTTTAATCCACAGTTCAATGAAACATTTACATTCCCGCTTCATTTCCCTGATTTCGCACTGCTTCGTTTCTGTGTGAAAGATTTCGACTCAACTTCAGCAAATGATTTTGTCGGTGAATATACAATTCCGATAAAAAGCATTCGTGCAGGTTTGAAACTTCATCACTATCTCAAAATTTTAGTGGACATCTATATAAAGTAGCTATTCCCGGTGGATTAAATGAAGTAGTGTGGAAACTAGCCTTACGGACTTTCTTATCTCTTTATGCAGTTTCTGCACAATTATGTATGTACACGGTCACTTAACTATGACTGTTATGCTGTGCTGAAGGAACGAGTTGCTTTATTTGTCCTGATGGTCGAAACGAAGTACATATAGAACTATATTAAGGCTATTCACATGTGCGTTTGAATACGGGTCGTTTGCGTACAATGGACGAATGCGCCTCACTTCTGATACGAATCGCATTTGAATGAATTTGTTACTGCGCTATACACATACATATCTGTTGATGCGAGTAGTCTAGGAAGCTTCAACTTTTCAAATCACATATTCCTAAAAATAAATGCTTAAATGATTTCGTCCTCGACCTCCTCTAACTTTACTTACTTGCTCTTGTCTGCCATAGCTGAAATAGATTTTCCTAAACGTAACTAATTAATCCACAGTAATTTTCTCCTGTTTCCTTGTGACTCGAATCTGCTGCAACTCATATATTCTACTCGTTCACTTAAATTGATCCTGACATGCTTCAATGCAAAACCAGAGATCCATCCTGAACAACTGATTTGGGAGATAAATTTTCGGGACGACTAGGAAGGGTATCAACAACAGTGCTATATTTCTTGCACTTCTTCCATAATGAAAATGAGATCCGCCTATAGGAAATGCCTCGCAGTTCCATCTAGTCTTGCTTACTTTACGTGATGATTGTATGTATTTGAACCATTTAAATTTGTGATTTACAAATTATTTAGAATATTTATGCACCCGACTTCGATTTAAAATAATGCACCATTAGCGTAGTGGAAAATGAATTGTGTCCTAAAAGATGAAGTTTTGGTCCAAATTAAAATTGAAAGTGTTTACGAGAAGACAAATTCTTAGTAAGGAAATATCTAAGTAATTACTACGAACGAGGTGAACAAGCAGATATGTAAATACTAATCAGTAGGAATGAGATGATATTAAATATTGCGAATCTCTTTAGCTTTCAATGTACACTTCCAAGGAGACAAAAAGTGTACTGAAAGGTATCCAGTTTCTAGTACTCAAGTTATAAGTTTGAGGTTTCATTCTGTATAGTGTTTACTCCTCTAACTACCCATCGTTCTGAGTTGGTGACTATCCCGACTGTTACAATTAGTAAAGAGGAAGACAGAAATTTTACAGTGTTTTTAAACTCTGCAACACCGTAATGAGATATGAAATGGGAACTCTTAACAGCATCTCTGACTAAGTTGTACTTCATTAAATAAGTCAACATCTAGGTGGTAGTTCCTTAAAATGATGGGATGACATTAATACGATATCAATTCTACTCAGACCACAAGTAGAACAAGTATGGAAATCTGAAATATACGAGAAAAATAAGTTGAGCAAGAGCACTGTCGATCAGTGCTCGAAACATACTAAGTCGGTGATTCAAAAAGTACAAGTATTCCTTACAAAGTCAAGAAATCAGAAGGTATGCTAATTCAGCAAAGTATTAAGAAAACTGCTCCTTTTTACTTTTCACCACTTCTGCGAGAAATTTGAATCTGAAAATCAATGGATTTTTTTGGGCTAACTAATGGAAAGTAAAACACAAAAATTAGGCAACTGTTGAATATGATTGTTTTAAAACTGCTAGTTTAAAATTGTTGTTTGAATGTGAAGGTTTTCGATGAGCAAAGAAACTCCCCTAACATATGAACAATCTGATAAAGGTAGAGAGGTAAGTGGGAAGAATAACCCAAGTACAAATGGAATGGAGATTTTAAAAAATTCTACAGCTGAGAAAAGCCCGTAATCGGGATTTTAGGTACCGTTTTCCTGTCGATAGCTGTCTTGTTGAACAAGATTTATAGCAATATTGAAAATAATTTACCAACCTCCTTATGCACTCCTTTTTTGATTTCCCTACAAAATTTGCAATATTTTCCCAACGGTCTGGATCTGATGACGGGAATTTTTTAAGCGCTGCTTCAAGCAACTTTTGCTCTTCTGCTTTCCACTCCAATTCACTTCCTTTTGCTGAATTAACCAAAATGTCCATTTTGTTCTGATCTTGCGCGTTACTTAATGATTTCAATGTTTTCACCTGAAACTAAGTGACTTTAAATTTTAATAAATTATGAGAAACGAATTCATAGCAGAATTAAAGTGTTTGAAAAGATATACACACATATGGTGTAAATCCAACAAATTGTTAATTTTTCTAGTGACATCTATTTTGTGAAGTGCTTCATCTCTGTCGGTACTAAATAACTCGTAGCCATAAGTGAAAAAAAAAGTTTTTTTCCTGAAACCTATTTCACGATGTATGAAAAATGTACAAGACGGCGTCAAGCTAAGTGTTCTCAGAAGGCGCTACAATGAATAATCAAAATAGAATACCTGAATCAAGACATCCTTTTCTGTTTTCTTTTTTGCATTTTTCCTTTCACGGTGCTCATTGATATAATTTGCAATCTCTGACCATCTAAAAACAATTTTCTTCATTTAATTTCACAAAACATAGTCACATCAAAATCTTTTGAAAACTATCTTATAGCCATGCATCCCACCTATTCACAATTTACCGCACCACACAATACTTGTTAACAATAAATTGAGATTTGAGACAAAGCGTGAGCACAAATTTCAACCTTTTAGTGGTACCGACAGGATACAAAGTAGTGGCTTTAACTAGTAACGCTATTTCGTCAGGGAACCAACGAGATATGTTATTTGTAGCATTCTCAGAGACTCCATCTTTGGTCTCGACATTTTCCGGAGTTTCTTTATGAATCTAAAACTCATACTTCCATAAAACAAATTGCAAGTCATACGGCATATTATTTTCTTACTCAAGTCTTATTATGTATAGCAAGAAATGATAACAAAATTCCCGTGAGCAAAATTAATGCATTACCCACTTTACAGCACCATTTACTGTAACAAGGAACAGAAAATCATACGTCACATCAATGATACCTATTTCAAGTGAATATGCGTACCTGAACGTTTAAAATGTTCATTGCTTCTGTGAAACTGCTTAACAATTCAAGCTTAGCAGTGATTTCATTCAAATGAACTGCATCAAATCGCAAACAGACATGCTCAATTGCTTCCAGGCAAGACAATTTCGACGACACATCCGCATTCCAGTAATTCTTACCCTAAGGATTACACTTTTTTCTCAAAAACACTGTTTTGACTAATAATGTCAGGTAATCATTTAGTACTGCTTCCTCATGATGGTTTTAACCCATAACCAAACAGAAATCCCAATGAGACTCACAAACTGTCATATTTATTCTAATTATTCGTGTTGCGATTCAAAATACTAGTTTTCGCCGATCAACATAGGGCTATTTCTTCCCGGTTTTCTTGAAGCTTTTCTCTTATGTGTGCAACCGTTATCGTTATCACACCAATTCCAAAACAAAGTTTTTTGAGGATACAGATTCAAGAGATTCACATGGAATATAACGAATTCAATGCAACAAACAAACTTCTGCAGTTCTACGGAGCTTTCTTCGGGCTTCACCAAGCAGTTTTTTCTGCTGCTCTTTTATACGCTTTTCGTAAGCCCGCTGCTGCCGTTCTTTCTCTAATTGTTCCTCTTTTATCTTTCTATTTTTCAACTCAATTTCCTGAAAAAAAAGACCTTGCATACTTTATTTACTCTTTACAAAGATAGCAGCATTTACTGAATGTTTAGCTCAAACCAAAAATTACCAATTTCTTCTTCTCATCCTGGGCTCTCTTCTCTTCCAGAGCTTTTTTACGCTCGTTTCTTTGATTCTCCTTTCTTAATTTTTCCTGCTCCTTGAACATTGCTATTCGCGGATCTTTACGATACGCTATTTCAACAAGATTTCTTATTCGTTTCATTTCGTTCCTACGTCGTTTTTCTCGCTCAACCTAATCAAAATCACATAAAAGTTGTACGGAATTTCATAATTTTGGAACAGGAGATTGATATGCAAACTTATTTCAACTAATAGAAAGAAATGTAAAGAGAATTTTCAAGCTATATACTTATATTTGCGCCCGGAATACATGTAAAGATCTCCTCTGATGTTCCTTCACATCCAAAACTCTTCCCTAGTCTGAGTCGTATCCTCAACGATTTCGACAAAAAATACATACTGACCTTATTTATCTTCTCAATTTCACGTCTTTCCCATCGGTCTTCTCCCTTCTCCTTATCCTCTTCGTCCAGATACGAGAATTCACGCCATGAATCCCATTTAAACCAAAATGAGTAAAATCTGTCAACTTCACCTTGTACACTGTTGATATCGCCTAGTAATGGTACAGGATGCCGAACAGACCACCTAAAAATGATATAAATTTATAATTTGTTATACGGCATACAAACTTCTCATTTGCTCATCTACAAACTTCTCAATCTTATATAAGTCTTGAATGAAAGCACACCAATATCGACTTGCTTCAGGAATTTTAGAACAGCTAATGGTAAGTACTAATTTCTGCTTTAACAATTCTAAAAAACCTCCGCGTACTTGTCATCACGTCAAATGTCGACAAAATTCTATAACAATCTCAAACATCAGTAAAAATGAAACAGCAAAGAAATCCTCGTATCAAACAATTACTATGATATAAATAGATTGAAGTCGTAAGAATCTCCGAAATCAAGCAAATATTTCACCAGAAGAAAAAATGAAACAGCCCTGCTTGTTTAAGCACTAAACAGAAAGTTGTTTTTTTTTTTCGATGGCGTAAGCAGCGCTGCTGCAATATAACAATTTCACATACCCACGATTGGAAAAATTATGAACCTATAACTAGTCGTTTCACAACCGGATGGCCTTCTGGAAAAATGCAGATCTTACAATATCAAACCAATAAAAGAGTGTGATAATAGCGGAGTTTTTATGATTTGAAGAAAATCTGAAATAATTTTAAAACCTTGCATTCCTAATAAAGACTGGCGCCAGAATATCGTAAAAATTGTCAGAATTGATCATTTTCTCGTCTGGGATGGAATCATCGAATAACGGATCCACAGAGTCATAGGCTCTCCTTTTCTGTTCCGATAAGCCTAATTGTTCATAGGCTTTGGTAATACATGTGAAGTAGTCCTCGCCACCGCCAGCTTCAGCCTTTACTGCATTGTTCTTATCCGGATGATGCTTCAGCACTTTGACACGATCTGCAAAAAAAAGCATCAAAGATAAAAAAAGACAAAATTAATAAATAAATAAAGATAAAAACACACTTCAAAAATTCAAATAAATTTCAGTTTCGGAATTCCCGGATCCTTAGATTTAATAACGAACTTAAAAGCTCTGTGCAATGTTGCATAAATAAAAACAAAGTTTACACAAAAAACTGTAAGTTAAAAAATCGTAGATTCCGTCAAATACCATCATGATAACACGGGAAAAGTTAACTAAGCTGAACAATAAACTAAGCGTGGCAACGGATCTGACTTCATTTCATAAAACTTGATGCACTGAAATCATACGAAACAGATTAGGAGTCTTTCATAACTTACAGGCAGTACGAATCTGCGAAGTACTGGCCTGCCAGCGTAGATTTGATAACCCAAGGACTTTATAATGGTCTTGATCCTTACAACGTTTTGGGTCCAGATTTTTTAAAAAACGGAGATACTGCTCGTCATCCGGATCCATAAATTCATTCGCTGCCTGAATTCATTTATTCCTTTGTTCTGCTTAAAAATGCGGCACTGATAATGAATTAAATCAAATTATTTACAATAAACGTTTTTAAAGCAAATACCGTTACACATGTTCCATTGCCTTCCACATTGTCCAGGCTCGTCCAATTTCCAGCAAAGCATCCAACAGTTGGTGATTGTTTTAAGATAGGTTCAGTACTTAAACCAAGTGTTAGTTTATCGCGAATAATACGTAACTCGTACGAAATTCCTGCTTCCTCTATTTTCTGAATGTTACGGTTAAATCCATAAATGGCCAAATCGAGCCCGGATAATGGCATCACGGGCCTGTAAGACACACATAAACAGTAAAGAAGCCAAAATTTTGAACCGTAGGAGAAGCGCAAAGAGGCTTAAAATAGTAAACTGCATTGCCCGCCTTGGCATGTCCCAGTATCACGGACTCTTGTTCCCAGAAGCTTTCCCTGTTGGAATTACTTTCACCAAAGAGCGCAACCAGATAATATCCGATAAACGAGAAAAAATAATACCAAATATTTAGCGAAGGATAAAAAGAAAACTGAAAGTAATAGTGTTCTCAACTTCTAGAAACAGGTTACGTCCTTTAGGCTAGGATGAAAACTTCTGTCCCGAGATCCGAATTGCGTTTCCGGATATCCAGTGTAGAATAAATTCACACTCCCCATATAAATAAAACCCTTCCTATTACCCCAGTAGTACTGTAAAAGTGACTTTTATCATAAGGATTTGGTTCATGAGGTGTTTAGCATTTTACTAGCCACCTAGCGGTCTGTTATATTGTATTGGTTAGATTTTCGTTTGGATGCCATGGGATAGGGTGGCATTGAATGTTGGATGTTTGCTCTTCCGGTCACATTATTACTTTGATGAAAGTAAGTAGAAGCATAAGAAACGAATATATTAAAGTATAAATGATGCAATTTGGTGAAATAAGTTGGTGAGAAAACGACAGGACAGTGATTAAATAAGAAACGGAAAGCAAGAGTTAGTATATCACTGAATGTAATATACGAAATTCTTTCATAAAAGTTTTTTTGTTGCTTTAAATAGTAAACGACTTTCCTGACAGTCTACCACTTCATAGAATGGCTTGCAGTAAGCTTGCTGGTAGCTTCCGTAGAATCGTTCCGCTTGATAAATGAGGATTGAAGTAGGAAGGATAGAAACATTATTGTATGAAATAGAAATAGAGAAACAGGGGTAAACTTGGGATACTGGCCAGCGAAGTCTATTGAGAGCATCCAAGAAAACTGCTAGGGATTTTATTTTTCGTGGAATGCATAGTTTATTTGTAACAACATACGTTCATAACTTCAGTGGTTTGATACTTCACGTAACCCTTTACAGCGAGAATTAGATTATAATTAAATTTTTTACAGGAAAAATGAGAAGTTATACGTTGAAAACAGTCCTTCAGTCATGTTTCATTGGTACGAAGGGTGTGTTACCAGTTAGAAGTTGTCAATCAGTAGGAGCGCAAAAAATCAAAATTATGAAAGGACCAGATGGCTTATCAGCACTTGATATTGTTAAGGAGTATGGCATACCAATTCAAAGAGTTTCATTGAGTCGTGGACTTGCATTAAATCGCTTTGAAAAAGTGCATTTCCATTTTATTATATTTAACCCTCAGATATTCAAGTAATTATAAAATTTGGCAGCCTGCTTAATTTTTTTTTTGCTGATTTGAAAAAATTCGCTTAGATTCATATATTTTGCTTTGTTTGATAGCGAAATTTTTTTCTTGACTTTAGGAGGTTTGTCTTGAAAGTTTTTGTTAGTGTCGGCTCACAGGTTCTATTACATCCGTGCAACTTCAGCCTTATATTCTGAGATCCTCGTTTTGACAACATGACAGCTTTCTCTTTCTCTTTTCTCGAAATTGCTCAATGATTCATTTGAAATCACCAAATTTATGCGGAACGTACTCCTTAACTTTACGTTTTCACTAAATGCCGTTGTTTGGATATATTGCCGTTTTGTGACAGTTATCCACCGAGCATTATCGAAATCATTGTATCAAAATGAATTGTTGCTAACTTTTATTGTTGCAAAACTTGGCAAGAAATTTCATCACTTTTAATTTTCTGTGTACTACATGAAAATCCTCATTTAAGGATTTCTTCATTTATCCGGAATATTCTGATACAGATGCAGCTGAGAGTATGTTGCAATTAGTATCTGCACTCAAGAACGACATCAAAACAGCAGGTTAGATAGCAGCAATTATATCATTGCAACATCTAAGGAAAGTTTGGTGTACTATATAAAACATGATAACTTTTCATTATTCTATTTCAAATTTTACGTAGTCAGTTTCCAGCTGATCGGGAGAACTCTCTCATGGCTCTTTGGGATAAATACAAGCTCTCTTCGTACGCTGTTCCTAAGAAATATGGTATGTCACTTTGATTTTACATAATTTTGTAAAAAGTAAAGGGAAGAAAGAAATGTTGCTAGACATCACTCGCAAGGTAACATGGGGATTTGACTCGTTTCGTTTCAACAAATATTCTAACACTGAATAACGGTAGAAACAGAGGTTTTATCTTCAATTCTAAAATTTCTGTTCCAGTAGAAATTTATTTAGAGTAGAAATATTCAGGTGGTGTCGATATGTGTTACAAAGATCTTTTAACTATTTGTGAAGGATTAGGATCATACTGGAGTTTTTATTTTCGTTTCGAGCAAACTCATTTAACAGCGTCTCTTATTCTGCTGTATGGTAATGACCTGCAGAAGTCTCGTTATCTACCGCAAATTGCATCGGGAGTAATTCGACCCGTAGTTGGTTTTTCCGGACCTGAAATGTTGGTATTTTGTTTGTTTTGAAACACTGTTCACTCTTTTCTACAGAAGTTCATAAATTGAGGCACTTGTATACATTCATGCAATTCATTGGCCTCGTCTGCGGATAATTTCCATGTTTTGTCTAACAGGAAAAATGATGTAGTATGTTTCGATAGATGAATTTTTCAAAGTTTTCAGGGATTCAAATTCAGAATCAGTGACATCTTTATGTGAGCTTATTAATGACAAACAAAAATTGATTGCAACAAATCATTTTATCAATGCATCAGATGCTAATTTGCTTGTCGTTTTTGCTAAGCAGGTTTGATTCATGGTCAACATATAAGTTTAAGAGTCCTTGTTGCGAGTTTTACTGGAAAAGTTTATCTGAACCGCGGGAAATCCTCGGTTGTTCAGTGGCGGTGTGAATGGTTTTTAAGTGGTGGCATTTATTAATTTTTCTGCATTATTGTAGTGGATGTGCTGCCAATGTTTTTCTTACTTGGGTCTTATCTTTCTTTTGAAATTACTTCATTTAGCATATTCACTGTTTTGTTAGTGCAAAATTCGATTTTTCGGAATATTGGAGGCAGTAAAGAGAGCTTTGTAGGAAGAAATAAAGTAGCTATAATGTATTTAACACATTACTTGGTAATATTTCCAGGACATAAATAATATAGCATGCTTTCTTATCGAGAAAAAAAGTGGAGACGGTAATACTTTTGAAATGGGAACGAAAACTTCTGTTTTGGGGAGAACTGGATTAAATGGTAAATATTTTGGATCATTCAAATCCTTTTCAAGAATTGATCGAAGGTTCAGTTTCGCGAAATGTCGTAGCATTTCCAATTTTTTTAATTACACTTCCATCATTTTCCCTTTTTCAGTTAATTCGTGGGATTTCAAGCAAATGACTGTAGAACCAAGCTTGATGTTAGGAAAACTTGAAGATGGAAAAAAAATCTCACAAGAAACATTGGTAAAGCGAATTTCATTTGGTGCTGCCGTCGTAGGTTTCATGAAAACTTTAATAAGTATGTTTTACATTATTTTTCTCTAGTAAATCAGTTTCATGATCGGCTTGACTAATCAAGTTCGAACTGTTCTAATAATCCTTATTTACTTTACAAAGATGTTTTTGTGCCCAGAAACATTTACGGCGGGATGTGATGTGGGGCTTTGCATCTCTTAGACATTGCTCCGGAGTCATGTTTACATTTTGATACGTGGTTTTTTTTTTTTTTTTTTGGAATTTGATGTCACATTGCTAAGCAAAATGTCCAAAAAAAAATTGTTGTTTATAATTTATAGATTCTTTGTCAGAATACTGCAACAGAACACTGCAGCAAAATTTGCCATTAGCAGGAAGGAATACCATCAAGGTAGGTGAGTATTTTTTACGAAGTCATCTGATGACTGTCTTTTCTTTTACATCTTTTTTGAATAAAATATAAGATTGTGCTTGTAACAATATCAATTCCAATCATGTGCTTTTTACTTTGGATAATACAGTCTGTATTTAGCATTTGGTAACGGAACTTGCATTAAATACTTACGTGCTTGAGTCAATGTGCTATTATGTTGGTGGACTTCACGATGAAGAACTTATACTATCGTTTGATGTCGAGGAAGCAGTAATACATGTGAGTTGCTCAAGCTTATAACTTTCAAGTTTCATGAGGTCCATTGTTATGCTTAATTCTAACCAAACCTGTTTGGGTTATGCCACGTCTAGATTCACTTGCTTGTCATTCAGTCTTAGAAGTTTTCGTTGTTTCTGACACGTAATTGATTTTGAATAATATGAGAACATATTTCTTCCGCGGATCCGATTACTGAACTTATCCAGAGACTCACTTGTTCGAAATATTTTTCTTTAGCTTTTAGTACAACTGATCTTTAATTTTATGGATTTCTATTTAGAAGTATGCTAGGCATTTGCTTTCTGAAGCTATATCGTCGACTGTAGATGTTGTTGGAATGGATGCTATTACGTCTAGTATGAATTTTGACGGTCTGCTGGATGAGATAATGGCAGCTCTTTTACTTAGCAGTACTGAATTGGATCTTAAAAAATTTGTGGCGTCTGAAGTTATAATATCGTATGCAAACGCTAATGCGGATAGCATAAAGTTAGTAAGTCCCCTTATCAGTTTGTTGTTGCTCTTCAGGGTTACTGGCGTGAATAAACTGTATGCTTGAATTACGCAAGCACATCTACGTAAACTGGTGTATAATGTTAGCTTTTAAGGATTTTAACTTTTAGACAGTGGCGCTCTTTTGATAAACGACTCTATGAACGGATTTTTGGCCATGTCGAAAAAGCAATCGCATTTCACGATCCAAAGCTGCAACATTTTATCGCAGAACATGCACACCCATCATTGAAAGTTTGTTTTTAAATAAAACTATTCACTTTTAGTGGATGTTGATATATAGTATTCGATGAGGATACAAAGTCACTTTCTTGCAGGAAGCATGCACTAATTTAGAGCACACTATGTGGAGATTAGAATCATTGCTTAATTTGCTCCTTTCGAATCATGGAAAAAGCATCATATCTGATTACAATGTACTTGAAGCTATTTCAAAAGTGATCGAATATAATTTTGGCATGGTTACAACTATAGCACGATCTAGCCGATCTTACTCGATTGGTTTACGAAATGGTGATCTTGAGGTACGTTAATTATATCAAGATAGCTTCGCCATCCCTTCAGTTTTCTGTGAAATCTATGAAATTTTCTGTGAAAATAGGAACTCCTTCGCATATTAAGATTGGAGAAGATTTGGAGGTTTTGAAACACTACGAGACAACATTTTAGGAAGTATAAGCAATCTAAAAAGTTAGCGGTTACTTCTCAGTAATGATGAGGTACTTCGGACTTCTCCCATCGTTATTAGAGCGATGTAGACAGATCTATCTTCAGCATTGGTTGACAATGTTAGGTTTCCTCAAAACACCAATGTTGTCATCCTACAATTGGCAATAGAGAACGATGTAGCGAATGATTAGACAATTCCTTTTGATTCTCGTAGCTGTGTTGTAGCTTACATTATTGCCTGAATGTTCTTGATTTTCAATTTTTAAAGTATGAAAATTGTGTTTAGGTATCCTGGGCGCAGCTGTATTGTTCTGAAGCGGCCAACATGTCAATGGCTGAATTGAGGAAGCTTTATGATTGTAAGTTATTCGCTTTTACTACGACATTAATTTATGAAATAATCATTCAGTCGTGTATCAATGGTCCCGAATACTATCGTTTGATGGAAAATAATATAGTAGTACTCTTGTTTGGTGAATATATCCTGCTAAACCTTATATAGGATTTAAATGGATTGTGGCTGCGTTTGGGTGCACTGGACATCGTAATGGATATAATCCTAATCATAGTTTGATATGACGTACCTCTCTCAGACATAACAGATTATGATTAGGGTTATGTCCATTAAGATGGGTAAGGCTCAGCTTCTGCAAATAATAGATAGAGCACGAGAAAGTGGAACTCTTTCAACGCAGCCAAAAAATACTCTTTTAACGTAACATCCGTATGACTAGTCATTAACAGGAACATTCATGGATGGTTAAACATTTCAAGTTCCAAAAAACGTCATGAATTTGATCAGTCCGAGTTGCAGATTTCCGATTTGAACGAATGAACTCTTTGCACTCCAAGATTGGAGAGTCAGTTTTGGAAAGTGGTGGATACTGTATAGAAAGTCCAATTACTCGAAATTGGTGATAATCCATGAATCGACTGTTTTAGTTTGCGTACTGTTTGATACCTGTAAAAATTTTCCAGAGCAACATGGAAATAAAACTACGGAATAAAACTTTAATCATCTAGTTTAGCAGTGAATTTGCATTCATGGAACGAAGAGAGTGACTTTAATAGTGGAAATAGTCTATATCCAAGTTCAAAAATTTAGCGTTGAATTTTTCAATTGGAAATATTCTGTTCTTACTTCTATACCTCTTTAATTCTTAGAGACACTAGCCTCATCGATCTTTCAAGTATGAAAATGGGATAATCTCCAAAAAGCACGATACTTTCTAAAAATCAGAGCAGAAGAAGCGATTTTAAAGGTCAAATCAGCAAGACATTTGTGATTTAATTCATTTTCATCCCTAGCAGACTAAGCTCAAGTTTGACTTATTTCATCATTCATTAAACGTATGTGGCAGCAAACACATGAAATGTTAATTAAACGATCAAAATAAATGGATAAAAGGGCGTAACTATTCGCCTGCTCCAAGAAGAAATATTGGAATGTTAATAAGGGATGACCGGACATAATGAGCAAATCTGTTGGCTTTTCATTAAATGTTTTTTCTGCAACGATATTTGCGAAGATTAGGGACGTTCATGCACAAAAAATTAAACCTGTGCAAATCTTTCGAAGTGGATGACAATACATGAAAGATTTTAGTGTGTTGTCATCTGTTTTGTGATGTCATCTTGAGCGAATACTCAAGATGTCCCCAACAGACGAAGCAACTGAGATCTGAAAACGTTCCTGTTCCTCTTCAAGTGACGAGAACCTAGCCTCACAGCTACCCGAGAGCTCCCGTGACGTCCTAGAAATGAGAAACAAGAAAGAAGTTTCGTGACAAGAGCCTGGATAATTGCTCTTCCGTTCTGGATGGTTCCTGGAACGATCCTAAATTTGAAGATAGCTATTATTGGCGCTTTCTTTTCGAATTTGAATCATTTCGCAAGCTTTCAGTGAGTTGGGTGGTTGGTTGGATGGAGATGGTGAGCAGGAGGTGAAAGGTCTGTCATTTTATAGGGCATATATTGGTCCCCCGTTATTTGATTCCCGATAATAGTAGGGAATCTACCAGTACGTATCTCCCAGCAAGGACCACTTAGCAATCATATTTTTAGGTCTTATTCCAAAAATTAGCCTAAATTTACCTCATTTGTATTTATTAACATTGCGGAAATCGATCACCGATCTGTATGTGTTTTGGAAGAGGAGCGGCAGTTGAAAGTTCTGTGGCCCCATCAGATTTATACCGAAAAACTTTTTGCCCTAATGCGGGTAATTTTTCGCGAAGTTTTGGCACACTATGTGGAACAGTGTGATCCATCATAGAATTTGAGAAAAAGATTTTTTTTTTGGATAGGTGAATTAGATATATGGAAGCCGGTTGACGTTTTAAAATTTCCTGGGATGTGAAGAATGTAGGCACTCATGGTGATGTATGTTCCGTGGTAAAGATTATCACATCAACAGAGGATGAAAGCTTTCTGGAGGTCAGAGAAACTATTGACATTCAATAGTTTTCTGGAGGTCAGAGATCAGTGATCTTTTTTTTTTGAGGCTAGGTGGTGGTTATAAAGTTTTTAGAAGGTCAAGTTAGAGAATAGCTTTCATCCTCTGTTGATGTGATAATTCGTGCATTTGGGACTTTTGAATTAAAGTATGTTTCTTTGAAGTGACTTCAGATAGAGATTTGCTTGGATCGATTTAAACCATAATAAAAGAAATTTATTTCACCTTCGTTTTTTTCGTTTTCTTAATGTTTATTAAAGTCACTGAACTTAGGTTTCATATGCATGCATTCTACAAACCCTTAAAAAATTCAGGTGTCACTTGTTCCAGTTAACGATGTCTACACCAGTTGGAAATGAAGCCGTTGACAGGGATAGCGAGCGTGACACTTCTCCACCAGCAAAGGTAACGAAGTTTGAGTGGAAAGGGATGCGTCGTCAACGAAAACATTTGGATACGGTATGCTCGCAAGGATCTGAACGATCAGATGACGATTTCTGCGCTGGTGATGCTGGTAAACGTTCGGTGACTGATAGCGACCAAAGCGACTCACCTGCAGCCGAATCTGATCGTCTCACTCCTGTCCCAAAGTTCAGATGCGATGATTCTGATTCCAGCGACGAGATGACACGACCTGCTTCAGGTCATGGAGATCTGCTTAAGAATTTGGAGAATATCACCGATTCGTCGGACTCGTCACAGCGTTCGCCTGAACACACGGAATATGATGAGTCGAATGACTTGCTTGAGCATTATTCGAACAGTCCACCGAATGTTCCCGAGCTACCTGAATCTAGCGAAGAAGCTGTAGGTTTTCACTAACCTCCATTAGATTTACTGCAAAATCTGTTCCTTTTTATTAGAACAAGAACCAAACTGTTTATCGTTTTTGAGGAGAGAAATTTCTTAGTCATTGTTTGCTTGGAATTAAAATGTAATTAACTGCATAACTGGAAAGTCAATTAGTCAACTGCAGTGCATACAGTATCGGCTTCGGTGTAAAAAATGGGTGCTCTTCCTGATTTGTTCAAAATTTCATTGGGTATAGATGTTTTTTGTCCGATGGTCCTTCAACACATTTCCTCATTGCAGAAGACGCCGTGTTTTTCACAGGCAGATCGTGTCGCCACCTTGCGTAAGCGAATGGCAGTAAGTTTTCATCTATATCGAATTTCTTCACAAAATTAATGAACAAAGACTTGAAAAACATAAATGCGAACCGTGGGTACAGGGAGCTTTCTACTGCCCACAGTATTGTGTGAAGATTGTTCAATGGGCAGTAGAAGAGATGAGAGAAAAATGAGCTAATGAGGTGATTTTTGAATCTGCGTGGTTAGTCTCAACTATCAAGGCTTGTTAATAATATTTAGAACAATTGCTTTATTATCTTAAAATTCATGTCATTTCAGGTTTATTCCCCAAGCGATAGCATTTTGTCACCTTGCACAATGAAACTCAACCGACCGAAGAATTTCTTCCGCATGCGACAGGCTAAAGCTTCGTCGTTGTTGTCAGCTGAAGAACTGAGTGAAGAAAATGATGGGGTTGAAATGGAAGATACTACCACTGTTGAAGTGGGTACACCTACAGATGATGAAGCCAATAAAACCGGTGACGAGGATACTACTTTTACAGAAAGCCAGGAAGGTTCTGATCACGATGATTTCTAACTTTCTTTACACCTTTACTTATGGGCCTCATTACGCGCATGTACAATTGTACCGTTTTACTCTTATTCTTAAACCAAATCCGAACTCATTTGTTTACCATACTGTTGCGATAGGTATCTTTTAAGGGGATGTTTTAAGTTGCTTTTGTTTTTTTCTCTGCATCTCAAGACGTTCAAGTTTCTGGCCTTCTCTTGACAGTCCCTTTTTGCCTCCTCATTTCCTATTCTAAATTTGGTTCTTGATCCATACATTTATACTATTTTGCTAAACATACGGAATGATGAATCCTTGGTGCGCTGCAAAATCTTATTGATCATGATGTGTTATTTCTTCTACTTCATTTCTGCGCCTTATTTCTCTTATGTATAAATAGTACTGTTTTAAGCACACCCTTAATCTAGACCGAAATTTAAGTGTCCTCTATAATGTTACCGAAAGACATCTTTTAATGAGGATGTTCAAGTTCCTTTTTTTCTCTTTACATCTCAACTCCTTGTTTCCTGGATTTTCTCAGCAATAACTGTTTGTTTTTTTATTTCCCCTCGTTTAGCGAAAAAATTCTTAATGTGTTATGTAACGTTCCATTCCATTATATCTTCGTTTTATCTTTTTTTTTTAGCAGATGGATTGTAAATTCCAGTCCACTCGATTATCCGTATCTTTATGTTATCGCTTCATCCTGTAATGAAATCATTTCTTACTTTCGGTCATATTCCTCTTTATTCCAAATTTTTCAGTGATTTTCGAAATATGAAATTGCGTTCTCTAACAGCAATAAAGGCTGCATTATATTTTGATTTGGACAATTTTTTTACATTTGCAACACTGCTGCGTATAAACCAGAAATTATCAAACAGAAGAATCTCCCAGCGCACTTAAACTGTATGAGGAGCGGTTGGAAGTCTATAAAAAGAAGCGTTGTCTTTAAGATAAAATCAATTTGAACGTAAAGCTTCGTTGTCGAGATGGATACTTCGCCGCTGCCTTCGCATATATCTATCAAATTTCTTTAATATTTCACTTCGATGGTCCGCAGTATGGAATCTGGCTTATTTATTTCGTTAACGAAATTACGCAAGCATGATAGAGAATTTTAATTCAGTGATGTACAGGCTCATGACATACGTAAGGATTTTATTTTCCGATTCACTAGAATACTTCTTCGTAATTGTCGGCAGTATAATATTCAGAGGTATACAAATGAACTACAGTCAGCGAACGAATGAATAAGCAGTGGAATTTTTTCGTAAGATAGCTAAATATGGTATTCATGAGTGATAACGATAAGCTGAACGATAGTGATAATAGAAGTGGTGGGTAATAGGAAATGGAGAAGTTTAAGTAGTTAGGATAATAGTCATAAGAATGACCTTATTCATTAATCAATTTGCACTTCAAAGAAATTGATATGCGAAAAACAAAAAACGATCTTAAGGATAACACAACCACGTCATACAGTAAAATACATATTGAGAAAGGACTATACAAACTGGCTGAGGCATATTATTTTGCTACTATTAAAACATCGACAACAATTTCATAGTTATGCAAAGAAAAGCCCAGAACCATTTTCGGGCAACTATTTCTGTTTCATGGAACTAATGCAAGCAGTTAAAAATAAGATGGGAAGAACAATGAAAAATCATATTATGTCTGCATAAGCTCAGCAGAGATCATTTTTCGAACGTTTACCAAAGGAAGCCAGACATGAAGCATATTTGCGTTTGATTGCATTCGATACAGGACCACCGTCATCCTGAAAAATATGGCTTGCACTTAATGAAAATAGTACGCCACGTAGACCTGACTGGTCGGCGAAACAACTCAATATTAAAATAAGAAGCGAAATTGTAGTAATTCGATATTTATGAGCAGGTAGCTAGGTAATTCGACAGTATCCCTCTCGCAGCTTTCATAGTACCTTGCACAATACATTTGAAGTTAAAATATAACTGCGTTTGCAAAGAATAAAGAATGTTCAACTAGACAATTACTAGAAGCTTCTGAGATAAAAGCTTGTGATCATTTTTCGCTGCAGAATATCCCGTTTCGAAATCTGATCGTCCACATTGACTACTACCTTGCAGTGTTACGCAAGACACCGATGCATTCAATGCAAGATTACGCTCATTTTGTTCATACCGTAATTTCAGCTCCTGGAAACTTCTCTGCAATGATGATGTATGCAATTTGCAAAACAAATGTAAAAAAAAAATAACCCCAGGTATAATTGAGTAATTTGTTTTTCTGGTCATAAAATAGTCGAAATTCCTGCTATACAACGGTAAGTACTAAAAGCATTACCTGCTTACACTAGGGTGCCCAATCATTCAGTCCATCTGATGTTGGTGATTAACGAAAAATTGAGCATGGCTTCTGCGAGCTTCCTAAATTAGATTCAGACAACCAACTCCCAGTTCCTATTTCCAAGCCCGGTCAGCAATAAAATTTATCGGTGGCTGTGAACAAGAACTAACAAAAATATGAAAAAATAACGTACTACAAGTTTTTCGCACTGCTCATCTACAGTGTGCAGCGCCTTCCGTAATTCCTGATTTTTTTCATCTGAGTGTTTCAATTTCTGAGTCAGTTCTTCGATCAACTTTTTTTCCTCGGTATCTACATTGCTCATAACAGCACTCTCCTGAATAATGAGATATTTGAAAGGACTCTAACAAAACTACTTTATTAAACGAGATTCCAAATATAAATCCAGAGATAATACTAAAATTGCCCGCACATTTGTTATAACGCTTTTTTAGGTACCACGGATACGCGTGCCACACTTGGCCAAACAACGATCTCCCAAAATATACTGGTTAGTGACACGGTGGTACAAAACTCCGAAAACCAACAATACCTGGATATTTACAAATCTGGTTATTGAATTGTCGTTATGCTTAGAGTCTGCTTCTAAGCTAGTAACATTGGATTTATTGGGATGTGCTGGCGAAATTGGTGATATGCATATACTGCATGTCTGAAAAAGTAATGCAATTAAGGTAAAAGGGACAAAGGCAAAATTAAGCAGCGATTTACCTCAGATAGGCCAAGTACACTCCCGAAATTGTTCCCACCTCGCAACCCATTCTGGTTGAGTCTGTTTGGAATGTTTTCCGTCCCACTTCTATCGCAGAGAACTTCATTTTTTTTCTAAAAGGTATCATAAACATACGAAGCAATTATTACACAATGAGCATTTAAATTAGCTATATCGAAGACCGGACAAAAAACTGCTAGTAACTCTGACAGTACATTTGAGTACAAAATTACATAACACATACAGAAGTAGTTCCAGTTTGCTGGGAGGACAGTAACTTATTGTGTTCACGCTTTAATTCATTGTAATCACATCTAAATATTTATATATTGATATTGCATGAAATGACTCACAATTAGTAAATAAAACAATTCACATTTCTAACGTTTTGAATATAAATCTCAGTTTATAAATTTATATGAAACCAGCGAGAACAGTGCTCAACATATCTGTATCTGACGACTCCTCAGGATATCTAAAACTTACAATTCACAGCAATGGAGTTCAGCAGGCTTTATAGCTGAAATGAAGTATTGAACAAAATTGGTTATAGCAGAAATCTAATTTCATAAGTTGATAACAGTACTCTGAATGATAGGCACCTTTTTACTAAAAAATAAGACCAAAACCTTAATTTTGCTTTCTGCTGTTTTATTTTACCATTGTCTTCCAGCAAAAACAGACGGGTCCGTTCAGCATCATCCAAGGAAGACTTCAATTCCGCTATTTCTGCTTTTAGCAAATCTATTTCAGCCTTGCCTTTATCAGCATTCTAAAATAAAGCATCAAAATCATATCATGCCTTAAAACCAGACTAAATAAACAGGACAGCAATGCACAGTACCTATAAAAATTGAACAGAAAAACGAGAAAGTTCTATGTCCCTAAAGTAAAAATAAAAATCTTTATAGTAATACCTGCGTTTTGCTTTCCTGAACTGCCCGCATATCACGGAGCCATTCACGGCGCTCCTCATCGAACTTGGTCTGACTCACTTCTTGGCTCTTGCGTAATTCAACCATTTCACAAACCAATGCTTCTTCACGAAGTCGATGCTAGCATTACAATTTAAGCATAATCAGTGTTATCTAGATTCATAATTTTTATAAGTTTTAATAGCTTAACTGCAAACTGAACCATCTTTATGAACAATAATTTTAGTGTGTTCCATTGAACCGCCACATATTACCAACGCCTAAAGTGCTATTGTGTCCAAATAGTCTTATATGGATATTGATTAAAGCTTTTATCACTATGGCTAGCCATTATCTGCTTTTCTAAAATCACTTTGATGTAATTGCACCCTTTTCGGATATTTTATTATATCAAGTAGGATTTTTTTAGATTTAATCATTTACCATATTAACTTGTGCCTCCAAAGACGCGATTTTTTTTCTTGCTTCCACCCAATCCTTTTGCATTTGCACAAGCTTCCCACGTTCGGTTCGCTTTCTCTCCTGATCCTTTTCCTCTAAATCCTTTTTTACAACCGCAACTTGAAACTCAGCATCTCCCATGGCTCTCAATGTCTTCTGCAGCAATTGATTTTCTAAATAAATTCAAATAAAAGTATTACCATTCCATGATAATTTCTTTTTCCGAATCCCTAAGATCATCCGCGATTTTGATAGCTATAATGACCATATATATATATATATATATGTACGGATGAAATTGATGTTTCTAAATGTATAGATGATGAAACTTTTATCGATGATATACAAAAGACATCAACGGAAAAATAAGTCAGGAAGAAATGAAAATGAAGCGTTTAATGAATTCAGTGTGTTCCAGACTCTTTTATAAAAAAATGGCATGATATTTACATATCACTTTGCACATTTTCATTTATCATAGAATATTTGTAAGTTTAGTGTAGCATTCACTCCTAGTTACTATACTGCATTCCAGAAAAAAGCCAACAATAACATGTCAGTTACCACATCACTCCGTTCAATGTATTTGTCGACCAAAATGTTGTAAAGAATGCTTTTGAAATGAAAGTAAATTAAGGAAATAGTTAAATTGTCCAGCGTTTTTAACAAATAAAAATAAACAGTATGAAAAATAAAAACATAAGCTTATTCTTTCAACTGAGAAATATGTCTTTGGCTTAAAATTTGCGTCCAAATTCCTATCGGCAAATTATATATGTGGATAATTTTGAATAATCATGTAACGATAAATTTTTGCCTTACCAAAGATTTCAATTGCAATACTCACATCTTTTTTTTAGATCAAAATGTTAGTATTATATACTGATATAGTATACCAATAAGTCTTGAATAGCAATATGGGAATAAATCAGAGATATTTCAACATCCAGATATAAATATATGTATATCAACTCTTCCATCAAAATTTGTCGTTATATGATTATCCATAATTTAGCAACACAAGTAAGCCCCTACTGGCGCTTGCTTGTATCGCTAAATTATGGATAATCATGTAACGACAAATTTTATATTGCGATAAATTTTGATTAACAAATGAATACGGATATGTAGGAAGAAGTAAATTTACGAAGACATTATAACCTACGTTGATGATTTATTAGGCGCTTTTATCTGCTTTGTTGTAAACTCCAAAAGAGAATTCTCACGAATTTAGAGTTCTTACTGTTGTAAATTCAAGAATAATGCCATGGCTGGTTATTTTTTGGACAACCGTGTACTCCTCTTACTATTCACATAATTCCTTCTTAGTCTTAATTAGAAGTTGCGACATTAAAATAACCATTAAAATAATAATTATTAAAAACACCCCAAGCTACTCTGAATTTCACTTTCATACGTCGAAAATATTGCTCTCTCGAGGTTTTGACGCGGTTTACTGCAGTATCGCTGGGTGACAAACACATTTCAATAGAGATTATATGAAAAAAAAATTGTCGCATATTAATGGATCTTTGATGTTTAAAGTTTTAGATTTTAATTTAACATCAAAAATTCATTGAAATTTGATCCAAATAAATTCCTGAAACTGTTCATATTCAAGTATTATGCAGCAGAAAATGGACTGATAGAAAAAATATACGCATATATTTTTCTGGATGATCGAATAGGAGCTGAGAATGAAAGAAATGTTTTAGTTGATCAAAAAATCTTAGGTAATAAATGAATAAGGATATTAACTTTTTGAGATAGCATCGCCGATTAATATTATAATAAAAGATACCAAAAAGTTTAATGAAATTTTAAATTGGTAAGAAATATTTCCCAATAAAAAGTGAAAATTATTTTCAAATTGTAATTTACCAAAGATATCCTCTTTTCCAATGGATTTTACGAAAATCGAATTTATTAAAAGTCAAAGTTTATTTTCAAACAGAATAATAGCAGGAGAATGTGGCACCAACAAGAGAAAGGTGTCACATATGTAAAAGGATGGGAATGAATTAGCGCTAATGGATCTAAAAGTGTTAATTAACCAATAATAAGAAAAAATCTCCTACAAATTCCATTCCATTCAATTCAATAATTTGCAACAATTCAAACATTTCTTTCTTACCATGAAGCTCTGTTTATTTATTGTAATTGAGGAGAAATACTCATTTATTTTTGGTTTACCTGTCAAAAACAGGCATTTGTGTGTCATCTTTGCATTCTTACAGTTTCTTGTTGCGCTTACTTCACTTCTTCAGGTCATTTTCTCTTACTTTTTATTTATCATTTGAGAAAAATTGCTCAAACTTACTTTTACTTACCATTTATCATGCTTATCATTTACTTATCGTTATGTTTCTTTTACTTATCACTTATTATTTGAGGAAAATTGTTCAAAAATTATTGCGAAATTAAAGGAGTGATAACGGAAAAAAAAAATCTGTCCAAATGATATTATCAAAAAAAGATTCAAGAAAACTTGAATTCATATTTTATCGTATAGCTCATTAACAACAAGATAAAATGATGTAACTTGATAGCTAAAATCATGGGAATTTTTCTGAATTGTTGATACATAACCGTATCCGGTATGCATCCTAAAGAATCTTTAAATGTATAAAAAATTCTTTTGATCATATATGTAAGAGTACTTTCAAATCGATTGAAATTAAAAACTGATGAGATAATTAAAAAGTTTTTTTATTGAGAAAGAAAAAAAAATAAGCTATTTGCTTAATTTTTGTTTAACTGATAATTTATTCTAAAATTGATTTGCACTGAAGGAATTTCTTCTATTCACTGCTATATCCCGGCATGCTAAAATATGATTCGTCTCGAATATGAGAGAATGATTAAATTAAACCAATTTTTCCTTCTTGAATAATTGATAAGAATAATTAAATTTTTTTTTGAAAAAAAAAGATCAAATTAGATATAGATTGAATTAAATGTACAATCAAATTTAGCATGCTTATTCGATACGAAAATACAATACCATATTTGCATGCCAATCGAATATTACAACAAGTTCATCTGCATCTGAGAAGGTAAATTTTTTTTTTAAAGATAATATATATAGCACAATTAGCGGATGAGTTAAACGGATTTATTTATCGGATTGCATTCTTAGTTTCCCTTTTAAGACAATTTTATCAAAATTGTATCCAATATGAAGCGATATTATTTTTATCAATAGAAATTAGCGTATTATATTGAATTTAATACATTTAAATCCGGAATTATTTTAGTTCTTATGGTGAAATGAAAAATAGAAGTTGCTTATGTGTAATAATTTTAGTACATTATGAGTAGTTTTAAATTCCTTTTCTAAGTTTATTAGCTATCACAGTGTTCTATTTTTGTAATGTCCAATAGGAGACTATTTTTTAACAATAAAATTTTAGGTAATTTCTTACTACATTGTGATTACATCAACTATGATTCGTCTTTTTTTTCTCTCTCTCTCCCTCTAACAATTCATAATATGAGATAAGTTACAATTTCAGTTTCTAGCCTACGATATTATCATATTTGATTATGGCCTAATGCATCGTGTGTTAGGAACTGATGAATGTATAGCAAATTATCTGGATGGCGGTTTTATGCGCTCTGTTTGGTGTTTATCACATACTAGTTCATTGTTTCTGCTAATAATCGCATTATTTTTTCATACAAAACCAATTTGGTTACTTTGGCCAGGTAAGTGTTCAATATAACCTATCATTGCTACTCTTATCATTTCATTATTGATATGAAATTATTCAGAATCTATTCCATCCCACAACAAATAACTCACCGTTGTTAAAAGAATCAAATTTGCAGTATGAAGTTATCCAAAATCTCTATATGTTTCAATTCAAGCAGTAATGAAATTTTTCCCCAATAAATTTTTTTCAGCGCTTTTGATGCAATCATCGTACGCCCTCGGGCTGGCTGTGTTAACAATGGCAACAGCTCCAAAGATGCTTGATGCATTAAGCGGTATGGTAGATACAGAATTCGGTACTGCATTTACTGTTTACTTGATCGGCTTCATTTCCAATTGGCTTTTCACTTTTGTATTGTGGCATCACTATTGGTATATTGAGGAGAAACTGAAAGCCATCTCTACTAAACATGATTCAACTGGTTAAAATTGGAAAAACTACATTAGCATAATAGTAAACGCGCAAATTTTATACAGCTTAATTTATCAATAATTAATACTTTACATTGTAACTAACAATATAATATACACTGTCTAATCAATAGATAAATTTTCTATTATTACAACCTCACTTTGTTCTTTGATTCTCAACAATTTTAGTTCTCAAAGAGAGAGACAGACAGACAGACAGACAGACAGAGAGAGAGAGAGAGAGAGGGAGAGAGATTCAAATTTTCTTTTCATTAAAATACGCTAATTTTGGAGCAAAAAAATTATTAACATTGTTAAAAACAAAAAAAAATACATCTAATTTTTTAATATTTAAATGCTTTCTTAAATATTCAAATATTTTTTTTAATTTTCAAATATATTTTAAATATTCATATTCAATAAACATCATATTATAAGGATATAAAAGGCGAAGAAAAAATTCAATCAATCAGTTTAGGATTATTTTAACTCTCCGAATACTCTTGACAATAACGATGAACGGTAAGAGTGACGACTCTCTATTAAGAAAAGGGAAATAAATGGGATTGTGGGTAATTCGAGGATTGGTTACATTGAAGATTATGATGGCTGCTACATCGAGGTTTGGTTGGAATGAGAGTTATTGCTACTTTTGGGACTCGGTCAGATTGTCTCATTGAAATAGTGCGCCAGTTGTTTATAATATCAGAAATAGCGAGAGAGAAATCCACTTGAAATCTTTGATAAATTTGATTCAACTGCAAATTGAATCAACGCGTTTTGTTTGAATATTTAAATATCAATCAGACAAAGTGCCGAAGTTGGCCAAGTTTGATAAGAATTCTTTTTTATTATTCCACAGATAAAACTTGCTTCTTATCAACCTTTAATAAAGAATAATTTCCTTTTAAATAATAAATGGAAAATAAAAGAACGAATTTCGCAGATTTTGGAATCCGAAAAAACATTTGAGTGCTGACAATGAAAAACAAACTACTGCATTATACTGACAAGGAACTCTGCTAACATTGTAACAGAATTGTTAGACCAAAGATGGAACATTGAAAAGTAAAGCTTCAGAAGTACTGCACGCAAAAGTGAAAAAAGAACAGCGAACCGCAACTGATTTTTTATTAATTACAGTAGTTATGAGTTGTATCATATCGGAGAAACTGTCCAGCCTGCTAGCTTGCCGTGC